TATAGCTGTTGGAAAGCTAGTAAGGTAGTGACTAACTTGAATAATCCACAACTGTTCACACATAAAGCTGAGATAATTAGTGTTCAAATAATTAAAGACTGAACCCCACAAAACTAAGCCTAATTTAGGAAAATATCTATGCATGCTACATGGTACACCTCCAAAGTAACTTTTTCTTGGGGTACCACTGTGGCAACAGCTGTATTGTTAAAGTTTCACAGTGTTATATAGAAATTCTGTAAAGAGTGAATTGGTTCTCAGAAGTTGGTAAGTCACAGTGGGCACGTCTGCACATTCATTAATACACCGTAGTTATGGAGCATTAAGTTTAGTACTTATATTACCAAGTCCTAAATCAGTAATTGGTGCTACTGCACAGTAGAGCCAGCATACAGCTTTTTAGTGATGCTAACTGCACAGCAGGCTTCCTGCACAGTAGCTAATACACATTAGCGTATTAGCATGGTTACTGCCCTGCACACTAATGTTCAGTAGAATTAGGCTACTGCGCAGTTAGCATCTCACATAGATACTCCCAGTGTTCTCAGGGTAGGTTCATCCACTGAAATATTGTGATGTGTATTATTTTTATTACATTTCATTTCTCAATGCACTGTCACTCAGTAACAGGGCTGAACACAGGCATGGATGAACTAGATGGCCACTCAGGGCCTGGACAGAAAGGGGGCCTGAAAATGGTCATTTTTTCCCCCATTGTCCGATTATTATCATCATTGTCTCTGGCAAAGGAGGGCTGGATACTAAAAGTTCACCCAGGGCTGCCAGAAGTTTAGGTACAGTGCTGCTCAGTAACACACTACAAACTTTGAAAACCATCTAAATTTGTTTCTCTAATGTAGTGGCTTTTCAGACCGGTACCCCATAGTTGTCGTCCATGTGGGTACGAACGACACGGCAAGAGGCAACCCTGACCGCATTATGAGGGACTTCGAGGCTCTGGGGGCCAGGCTGAAGGAGACGGGGGCGCAGGTGGTATTTTCCTCTCTTCTTCCGGTGAGTGGGCGGGGGCGGAGGCACGGGGCCTGCATTGGTGAGGTCAGACGGCGCTTACGCAGCTGGTGCCGCCAGGCAGGCCTTGGGTTCCTTGACAATGACCCATGCTTTCGGGAGGGTGGATTGCTGGGGCGGGATGGGCTTCATCTCTCCCCTAATGGCAAGTGTGTCTTCTCTTCCAGGTTGGCTGATCTCCTACGGCGAGCTTTCAACTAGACTCGCCGGGGGAGAGGGCTGCAGGAAGATGAGGAGACGCCATCAGGAAAAGGAGTGCAAAGGTAAGTAATGGGGGTCCTGATAGTCT